ATGTGTTTTATGTGTTTTATGTGTTCTATGGTTTTTATATTTTTAAAGCTGCACTGGGGTGGCATTTAATTTCGTTGTACGAGAAGTACAATGACAATAAAGATTACTTACTTAAACACATGTCTAAGTTTTAAAATGAATTGTAGTGTGTAGAACGTTCATCTACAGTTTGTTTTGTGGCTTCATTTTTGTGTGTATGCATATTTCTGCAAGACATACTGTCCATGCTGAAAATAATAAGTCAGGAGAATCTCTGACATCACAGAATCAAGACTGGTAAAGGAGCACAACTTCAGGCTGTCCTTATCTCCCTTGTGCGTCTGTGTTTTTCCACAGCGTGGCTTTCCCTACTTACGACTCATGCTGTGACCATGCAAACAAGGAGAGGAGCACCCAGCTGAAGTGCCTGCTGATGGCTTACTTTGAGAAGCAGACAGTGCTGGATGAAACATCCCTGGGTGGAGAGCACGAGGCTGATCACCTCCAGGAGGTTCAAGTCAGAAAATCCACTCTTTCCTCTTCTGTTGGCTCCAAAGCAGGGATGCTCACGAGCATCTATTCTGGCTTGCCTTCTGCAGACTGGTGCCTCTGCCAGGCTGTGGGAATCTTGGGAATTGCAGTCCCAATGCCAGAGGGGGAAGGCTGATCCAAGGGAATTGTTTTATTTATTTAGAGGGTGACTTTCTACGCCCCAACAAGGCATCATTGTGGACCTTCTCTTGCACACATCCTGAAAAGTTTCCAAAACTTCAGAGACTCAGTCTTCTTCCTCAGCTGGTTAATTACCCTTCTGTGTGTCACCAGGCATTGCCAAATATCTTTTAAAGATGGACACCCTTTTATATATTTGGACTGTGTTATCATGGAGTACATTTTGAGAGGAAAAAGTTTGGTTTCTATTCCTGCTGCCTTCTTAATTTCAATACCGTAATCCATTCAGTCCTTGATATTTCTGGTTAAAAGAGTTAGGGAGCAGTTGACCAAAACCGGCCTTTTCTGTCTAAGATCCTGCAGAGCTGCCAATAAACTGGGTAGCAGAAAGCAGCCGCCTATGCCCCTTGCTAAATAACCCGTGAGGAATCTTCCTTGATGGGGGAGACCGGCCATAAGCCACTACCCTCTCTCATATGGAAAAAGACACCCCTCCTCCTGTAGAGAGCAAGCTTGCCTGCCCTTCTCTCCCTCTAACCGGAACTAGAGAACCAGCTTAGGGGGAGACACTGCCAATTACAGTGAGCTATAAAGACTACAGTCTAACTTGATATAAAGCAGTGTCCTAAGTCCAAATTAAAATGCATGCATCTCTGTAAAATTATCCATTAAATGGCACTGATATTATGCAGGTGATAAAAAGCCATCCCAGATCAATTGGAGTGGTTTAAAGTTGAGATTGGTAGGAAACGTTCATGCCTGGCTGCATAATTTTATAATTTAACAGCACTTGCACTGAAGTTGAAAACTTGGCCCTTGCTTGAGATGTATTTTTACAGTGCGCCAACATTTATTCCCTTAACACTAATTTCACTTTCTCTGGAATTTGCTTCCTAATTATAGTTCCAGGAATGGGAACAGCAAATCCGAGCTGACATACGCCACTTCCTCTCCATCCGCCAAGATGAAAAGTTCTCTGGGAGGGCTTTGGCCAGGATTTTCCATGGCATTGGTAAGGCTCCTATTACAGCGAATCTGCATTCTGCTGAATTACATGGAAATGCACAGATCTCTTAGTGAATTTTTGTTCAGTCGTTTAAAATAAAGATAAAGCCTCCTAGGCATCACTTTAAGCCCCAGGACCACACATTCACATGCACAGAGTTTTCTTGGCAACAATATGGAGGTGGTTTGAGTTTTTTTAAATCCAGATTAACCCAGTGCAATCTTTTTTAGTTTATGAGCTCAGAGAAGGTCCACCGAGGGTGAACTAAAAAAAATAAATAAAGGCAACTTGACTAAAGATCTCCAAGGCTGAGAAAATGTTGGGCTAATAGGTAGCTGATGGGCTGATAACCTTATTTTCATTTTTTTTTGAAGAAAAGAAATTACAGATTTTTTCCTGAGAAATAGAGATATCTATTCCTGCTCACCAAATTGCTGCAGCACAGTGGTAACCTTAGTTTTTTAATATTCAGATTACGATTTAACATTGCTGGTGAAATGAAGTTTTCCATCCAACTAAAACTGATCCTAAGATACCTGAGACTCCTTGTGTTTGTGGCTATTGATTACACTTACTAGATAGAGCCTGTGATATCATTAACTATGACCTTGTACCATAATCTGGTTCTTAAGGGTAGATGCACAATTTAAACATGAATCGCAACATAGAAAAATATACTTATTTAATTCATGTGTATCCTGCCTCTCTCTGAAAGCCATATGTGTACGTATCTCCTAATTTTTATTCCCAAAGTACTCTGTGAGGTAGAGAGAGCTGAAGCTCCAAAATCACCTGTTTGCTTGAAATGATGATTTCAACCTGGGTCTCCCTAGTCCAAATCCAACACCATACTAGTTTTCTAAATCTTGTGTTCTCTTAAGGGATTCAACAGACTTTTAAGTGGTAAAGTGGTGATAGATGTCAGTATGTAAAAAAAAACCAAACCAAAGAAGACTGATTATTTATTAAGCAAAACAAAAACAAAACTTCTTTAGGAATTATAAACAGACATTTCCCCCATTTGCCAACTTGGTTCCTCAAATTGCAACAGGACTATTTCCAATAGTTATCCTGTACAGATTGCCTGCAGAAAGAAGTTGAATATAAGCACGCTGTCAGCAGGAAAGTCATTTCTGTTATTCCAAAAATGCTTTCTTTTAGGTTGAAAATTAAAGATAGTGAAAAAACATATTGAGATGAGTTGCTCTGATCCCTAAAAAGAAATGAAACACAGGGAGGATAATAAAGAGAGCTGGGGCTGGGGCACTGAAAGGGACTGATTGAAGGAGAATTTACCAGTCTTTAATCCTCTTTTGGAGCCACAGTTGTTTGTAAAGCAAGGTCTTTAAACAAGGCCCATTCTGTTATAGCTCTACTCTCCGAGGACTGTAAAATCACTTGCAGAATCTGAAAAGAGGTGATGATAGGAAGAGATGATCCTTGGGTGGGTGAGAGCTGCACTGAGGCAGAGAATTAGCTAGTTAAGGAGGAGAGGCTCCAGCGTAGAAGCTCTCCTGCTATCTCTACTACTTCAGCTTTGCTAATGCAAACATCAGGTTCTTTGATTTTGTGGCAGCGCTTGCTTCACTGAGCTTGCTTTGTCTACACAGGGAGTCCGTGCTACCCAGCTCAGATTTATGGCAGAGACCGTCGTTTCTGGAGAAAGTACCTTCGCTTGGACTTCCATAAGATTATGCGCTTGGCTACGGAGGAGATCATCCGTTGGAAGTGAACTGAGCTGGGCAGAATCTGGAGAGATGAAGCCCCATCGCAGAGCTGCTTGTTCCCTCAAGTCTGAATGCAGGTTACTCTGGCTGCAAAAAGGAGGTGGCCATATGCCAACTGGTAAATTGCTGGAAGACCCTCTTGCAGCCAGATTTTCCTCTGGTTAATCGTCAAAGCTTTCTACAGAGTAGGTGGAGCAACTGAAGAAAGGTCACCATTCTCCTGGCCTAAACAAGAGTTGGTAGGGAGAGCCCTTTAAAAAAAATAATCTCTAGGCTTTTGCATTCACTCCAAAACATGAAATACTACATATTTGGCAAATCTTGAAGAGCATTCCTTCATCTCATGACTTTCCCCTCCAGAATTTGGGCAATGATGGGGTTGGACTGAGGATTTGGGAGTGGATTAGCATTGATTTATTGATTTTTTTGAATGAGAGATAGGCAGGTTCTCTTCCTGAAGAGAACTGGAAGTCTTGATCTGCGTTCTGGCATTTGAACTGGACAACAAACATATATGTTGCTTATCTACACCAGGCAGTATCATTAAGTAAATACCTCTAAGTAAGAAGAGGAACGTTTTTGTATAGTGTCACAGAATTTTCCCTGGCAGAACTTGACCTGAATATACCAGTTTTCACTTAATCTAACATACCATTTTTGTCTTTGTTGTTGTTCTTTACTATATAAAGAGCATATCTTTCTCATTTCAGTGGGATGTTAAAGTTTTGTGTAAGAACAGTGACAGGAGGGGAAGGTAGGGTAAAGAGAGTCCTTCCTTGATACTGTGTCCTCTGAATCACATAATATGAGAGCCGGAAGGGGCCTTTGAGGAGCCCAACCCCCTGCTCAATGCAGGAATTAAAGAATTCCCAAGAAAGGGAGCCCCCACCTCCCTTAGCTGTGGGTTTCACCATCAAACTGGTTCCAGTTCAGTAGTTTTGTTCCTAACGTTGACTTTCCACAGCATCCCCCCTTGTGAGGCTGCTAAGGGCTACCTCTCCTTCACCCACCCCAGACTAGGCTACCCTCAAGGCAATGGCAGGGCTCACCCAGTCTCAGAGAAGCGCCCAAGACACTTGCAACAAGCCACACAGGCTTGGAGCCCAGTGGAAAACCACAGGAACTTGGAAGGAAAGAGGCCCGTGCCTGTCTCCCAGGCCACTTTTGTCATTGCTTCTCCCTCCCTTCAAATGTCTAACCAGTCTCCTCGTTGTGGAGAAAATGGTGTACTCTGAGCTAACCTAGAAGCCTGGGACAAATAAGGCTGAGCGATGTTTTCTCTTTCTTCAGCATGGCCACTGGGCCAAAGGTCAGCACCGCCATTATGGTTAAGTATTAACAGAAGTTCCTAACTCCAAACTGCTTTGCTATAATGAAGGCTTACTTTCCAGGGGTGGCTTGTGTAGAAAAGCACCTTGTGTGAGACTGCTCCGCCGTCACTAGAGAGCAATGGCCTCTTTACGCTCCCTGTAATTTTGGACACCTTTATGCCAACAGTGTTTTCTGCGAGCTTTGGAGCCCTTGGGGTTCTCTGAGCTTGGTGGTTTTCTCGCAAACGTTTCATTACCCAGTTAGGAAACGTCTTCAGTGCTAGCTTTTGTAGGGCTAAAGCACCACTAGAATACTTTGCTAACTCAGACTTATGTGCCAGCTTTATGACATAGCCTCCAGCCAGATTTAAGTCACGATTAAGGCTTCTCTGTCTTGTACTGAAAAAAAAAAAAGCAGAAGCGCCCTGCTAAATCAATCCTTTCAGGAGACCGGATTCAAGGCAACCTTCAAACGTCCAGATGTTCCCAGCACTTCTTACTTTTTGGAGAGCAGTTCTTCTGTTAGGTAAAACTCAGCCAATTCGTGTTTCCAAAAGAAG